CTCTCATTACTTCAAATATAATTGAGAGGTTTCATGTTTGCTTAAGTTCTTTGAACTTTTATCGACTTATCAAGGTCTTAGGCTTTCGTGGCGTTAACCACTTTCCATTGACACTTTTGGTTGTTTTGGTTTCATATACCAAAGTGGTCAAAGTCCTTTGCTACCAACCCTGTTCAACTTATAAGGTTTGGTGTTAGGTTTCCTATAGCCTAGTTTCTACCTTAGTTGTTCATGATACTATCTAAACCTATCCATTTCATTCATAAGCCCATCACCACACCCCCAAACACTTCTGAAACCATCTCCATTTTCATATTCTATAAATAGCCCACACCATTTCACCCTTCATCAACTATCAAGCCCTCCATTTGTGCCAATCTTCTTGTAGGTACTTTCTCATTCATTAGATCCACGATCAAAGGGTACTCTATCCTACATCAAAGTATCAATATTTATTATGACATATTTTTAAGTTTTTTTACTAACAATATGATGTTATATATTATTATCCAAATAAATAAATTATTTTTAATTAAAATTAGAATACGTTACTATCCCAATTAAAACAAAATCATGTTATGAATTCTGTTAGGAGTAAGGTGATTTTTTTTTTTAAAAAAAAAGCTAATTTGATTCAAATTAAATTAAAAGCAAATTGATTATCTAAGTTAAAAAGTTTAGTTTAGTGATGGTAATAGAGTAACATAAAAGGTGGTTGAACCTTATATATCGGGGGTTGGTCCAATTGGACAAACGGATAAAATATTTGAGAAAATAAGCTAAGTAGAAGTTTATTTTGGGATCTACGGTATTTGTTATAGTGTTCAAGAAACTCGTCACATCGAGGTGACGAGTTCTAATAAAAAATATTTTTATTCAAACTCGTCACATCGAGAAGACGAATTCCAATAAAATATAATTTTTATCACATCAGGATAAATTGTTTAAACAAAAAATATTTTTTATTAAAACTCGTCATCTCGACATGACTTGAACTCTTCTAGGATTTTCTCAAGATGTATTAAATCTTCCAATGAGTTAATGGAACCAATGAAATGGCCAAGAGGGGTCAATTGGCAATTTAAAAATTGACGGAAGCTTTTTGTAAGAAAAAGAAAAATAAACATAAGCAATTTTAGAGTGGTTCAACATCCTCAATGAAGTCTACTTGCACTACCTTAGTTTCCACACTAAGGATTTCAACAAATTCACTAATTTGTTAAAACCTTTTAGGACAAGGTGTAACCTTACAACACACTTAGACTTATACCACAAAGTCTCAAGTGTACAATCCTTCCCAAGAAAAAATTACGAATAGCAAACTTTGAAATATCCCTTACAAGGAGTGTGTTTGTACAATTTAGAACACATAGAACACTTGATAGAATAAAAACAAAGAAGTACACAAGTGTTCTTGAAAGCAAAAAAAATATAGAAGAATGTTAACTTTTATCTTGGCTCAATGTTTACTTTGTCTTTCTTTATGATCTCTCCTCTTCACTTATGATTTGACTTGTTTTTACACCCGTTCATTCAATTCTATCCATTTGGATAGTTGTGGAAGTTTGTAGAGCCAATGGGAGAAGTTTTCTCGCAATAAATGTTGTCCAAACGCCTTGAGTATCGGTACTCATTCTTAAAGTATCGATACTACCTGCATTAAATACAAAAATATAGTTGTTGGGGAATGGAGATTCGATATTGATCAAAGGCGTGTCAATACCAAACTGGTATACTAGAATTTGAAATTCTTAAAACACAAGGGCTTCTGCCATTCAGAGTATTGATAATGAAGGAGTATCAGTACCAAAATAACTTACTATAATACGTACAACAAAGGGAGTATCGGTACTGTTGTATATTTTTAAGCCATTAGCATAGATATTATATATATACACTACATGAACAATATCAATATTGTTGGGTTTAAAAATAATTTTTGACTCAAATAAAGTCTCTCTGAGTAAAAATTATTTCAAATTTATTTCCAATATATGACTCAATTTTTCAAGAAGGTAAGGAATAAAATGGAGTTTTTTACTCTTAAAAATAATTTTTATATTCAAATATCTAAATCGAATTTAATCTTAAAATTTCTTTAAAATATTTGTTAATTTTGGTATATCAAAATATCAAAGTATGGTTCAACAACAATGATGATAATAAAAATGTTATAGAATCATATAAATACATATACCCATTATAAAAGTTAAATATTATACTCTGAATAAATGGCATTGGATATCCCTCATCGACGATGCTCCTCGAACATGAACAAAAATCTATTAACACACGAATGAAAACAATTCGAACGTTGAGTTTTACAAACTCAATAGTACACAAACATTGTAATATACTCCATATAATTTGTAAACATAACCATGCAAATCAAGCATAATTTACAAACAAAACTAGGAATGGACATGGGTCGGTTTGGTCAGATTTTTGTCTATCTGACTCAACCCGAAAATTATAAATCCTCCATTCGACCCAAAATAATATATGTATTAAAAAAATATTATTTTTATTCAATAAAAATAAATATTTAATTGAAAGAAAATAATATATAGAAGGGTATTATTGCAATTTTCCATAAATATATAACATAAAATTACAATTTTTTGGGGTCAGGTCAGGTTAGGTATTTTTCACCCTAAACCCGAACCCGATCCGACCCAACCCGAACTCAAAATTTTATTTAAAAAATCCGATCCAATCGGATCAGATTGAGACAGAACCTATTGGGTTCAGGTTCCATGCCCATCCCTAAACATAATCATTCCATAATCATCTTATCTAACCTACTCATAAAAGCTCATCAACTAATTACTCATTAACAAAAGTTTACTTTAATGATCTACTTTTAACATTCCTCGTACAATATGAATGGTACCATAATATCCATAATCAAATTTCTCATTTAGTGTATATAAACATATGAATATCGAACGAATGAGTAACAAACAAATGAGGATGTACATGTACTCAAATAATATGAGATATTTGAATAGTTTTTATGTCAAAAATAACTATCGGTCAGATAATTTTAACCGTCTAAAAGAATTTTTCAAACGTCACAAATGACCGCTAATCAGTTAATCTTGAGCGTCTAAAAGATTTTCCTATGTGCCACAAATGGTTAACAATCAAATAACAACGTCATGTGTTTGTGGTATTTTCTGAGCAAAATCAGATTTCCTACTTCATTAATCTTTATCTCAATGGCTCAATTACGTAAAGCACAATCATGAGGCAGTAGCCAACATCAAAGTTAATTACAAGTCACATTTTAAAATCTTATTAGATTTTAATTACATTATATTCGAGATACTTCAGTCATTTTAAGCCTCAAAATTATTTTCAAATCTTATTAAATGATTATGCTGAGTCAATCGAATCAATGAAATGATCAAGAGAGGGAATTGACAATTAAAACAATTGATGGAATCTTTTTGCAAGAAAATGAAAAACTTGACAAACAATTTTAGAGTGTTTTAACTTCTTCAATGAAATCTGCATCCACTACCTTAGCTTCCACACTAAGGATTTCAAAAAATTCACTAATTTGTTCAAAACTTTTAGAATAAGGTGTAACCTTACAACACACTTAGACTTATACCCAAAGTCTCAAGTGTACAACTCTTCCTAAGAAGAAATTACAAATAAGCAAACTTAGAAAACCTCACAAGGAATGTGTTTGCACAAGTTAAGAACAAATAAGAACACTCAACAAATAAAACAAATGAGTACAAAAGTGTTCTTTAAAAGCAAAAGGAATATTCAAGTATGTTGACTTTGATTTTGGCTCAATGTGAATACTTTAATTTTCTATATGATATCACGTCTTCACATGTGGCTTGAAATCTTGTTTTTATACCCCCTTCATTCAATTCTAGTCATTTGGTTTGTTGTGGGAGTTAATAGAGCCGTTGGGATGAAGTTTCCTGCAATAAATGTTGCCCAGATGTCTAGAGTATCGGTATTTGAGCTTGGAGTATCGGTACTCTAATGTGATTATTGATGTCGGTATCGATACTTACACAGTATCGATACCAAAAATGGTTACCGAAATTCATTTTTTTTGTCAAAACCATAAAGGGTGTATCGATACCCTCATCTAAAGTATCAATACTACTGTCAAATTTTACACAATAGTATCACTAATGATATCGGTACTGCATGGTTTAAAATTAGTTTTGACTCAATTACAATTCGAAACCCTTTACAAAAATGTTTTAAAATTATTCTAGTGTATGGCTTTAATTTTTCAAAAAGAGTGAGTAAAATGGAGTTCTTGTCTTTAAAAAAATTTCAATATTCGAACAATTTAATCGAATATAAACTTGAAAATTGAATCGAAAATAATCTTACATTTTCTTTAAAATAATTTTCATTTTTTAATATATCAAATACAAAGCATGTTTCAACAGATTATCTTCAACTTTTAAGGCATTAACAGCCCATAATATCAATATCTTACTAGTGGCATCGATACTCTTAAGAGTATGAATATTTATTATAACGTATTTTAAAGTTTATTTTTTACTAATAATATGATAGCATATATTTCTATTCAAATAAATAAATTATTTTTAATTAAAATTAGAATACGTTACAATCCCAATTAAAATGAAATTATGTTATGAATTCTGCTTGGAGTGAGGTAAATTTTAAAAAAATCTAATTTGATTGAAATTAAATTAAAAAAATTAATTATCTAAGTGAAAAAGTTTAGTCCAAATTCAATGATGAAAATAGAGTAACATAAAAGGTGTTTTACCCTTATTTATCGGACGCCGTAAATACATTTTAACCTGTGGAAGGGGGCCTAAAATAGAATGAGGCCTAAAACTTTTACCTTAGCCCTACGGGGATGAAAATCTCAAATCTCGTCGTCTGATTCATCTCTGTTCTTCTGTCTGTTTGCTGCAATTACCGCATTTTTATCTATCCCTAAACCCTGTGCCTTGACTGCTGGATATCGGGTAGAAAGAGAATCGATGGCCGCAACTGCAACAGCGGCTGCAATCAGAAATGCGAAGCACATGATGCGGATGTTGTTGTCTTCTCTTCCTGTTTCATCACGCTCTACATCGCTATCAGCAAAGTGTTTCCTTTATAATCAGTATCCACTAAAATCGCATGGCCTCGTGAGATTATCCTGTAGAAGCATCACTGCCGACACAAACAAGAGGAAGAAGAAGGAGGAGAAAGAAAAGGGGGTAGCCAAAGAAAAGCGAAGAACCCGTTCACTGAGGGCTGCGGATATTCAGATTTTTGAGCAGGAGGAGGAGGATGGTTCTTCATCTACTAGTACTACTTCAGTAGTGATGCAGGAGTCCCATGTCCCCGTTATGTTGGGCGAAGTGCTTGATGTCTTCTCTTCAAATTCAAAGCCTCTCTCCTCTTTCGTCGATTGTACTCTTGGAGCGGCTGGTCATGCTTCTGCGGTCTCTTCCTTTCTCTTTATTTTTCTTCTACTAGTAGTATTAGTATTAGTATGAACAATGTGGAATGGTGGTAAAAGATGGTTTATTGGACAGATAATCCAGTCCCACCCAGAGCTCAAGCTTTTCATTGGAATGGATGCGGATCCCCTTGCACTCCGTATGACTCGTTCTCGCATCAATGCAATCTCCCATCCTCACCCTAATCCCAACTTGGAAGTCCTCACTTTTCTCAAGAATTTCAGACACAACAAATCCCTTCTCACTCAGGTCGACCACATATCTTCGGGAGTCGATGGCATCTTAATGGACTTGGGAATGTCATCCATGCAGGTTCTATTTTTCGCCTTCCACACTTCTCTCCTCCCTGGTCTTGGGTTTCCTTCATGTTTTCACTTTCCGCAGGTCAACTGTCCTGACCGAGGCTTCAGTGTGCTCGCTAATGGACCTCTTGATATGCGTATGGATCCTCAGGTTAGTATGGTTATCGCTTTCATGGATAATTCATTTCTACTTAACTAACTATAGCAGGCACATGACAGGCTAGTCTGAAAGCACAAGACATTGAATTCTTGGCCAGATAGTGAATTAGGTAGAATCCTTCGGGATTATGGAGAAGAAAGGAATTGGCGATTGCTTCAACACAAGATTGTTCAGGCCCGTCTTCAGGGTGGATTGCATTCCACTGCTGAATTGGTTGACGTTATTCGGAGTGTCACTCCTGGGATAAGAGGTAGGTACACTCTTCATGCGCTTCATCCTTTGTGCGTTTTTTTTAATAGTAAGTTAAGGAATTGGGCTTATTGGAGGTAGGCAAGGGTGGATAAAAACTGCAACAAGGGTGTTTCAGGCCCTTAGAATCGCTGTCAATGATGAACTCAATACACTGGAGGATTCCTTGTTTGCATGTTTTGATTGTCTGGCTCCCGGGGGTAGGCTTGCTGTCATTTCATTCCACAGTTTAGAGGACAGAATCGTGAAACAAATATTCCTTAATATCATCAGTGAAGAAGGCAGGGATTCCGTAATGAACAATGTTGAAGGTAACAAAGATCAAAATGAATCATGGATTAGACAGACGATACATGGTTGGAATGCAACCATTCTTACCAAGAGGCCAATAACACCCTCTGAAAGGGAAGAGGGCTTCAACCGCCGCAGCAGAAGTGCTAAGCTAAAGGGTAATTCAGAAATTGTAGCCATAGTAGTATTGTATACGAGTTAAGAATTCTTAATATTAACCTATGAAGATAACTCTTTCCTCAATCAGGCTGATTTCTGCTTGCTCACAGAACGAAATCCAACATTTTGCTTTTGTTATTGTTGGTCATGATTACAATGATAAGGATCAAAGTCTATCTTCACTAAATCAAGAATCAAGTGGTATAAAACGGAACAGATTTTGGTAAAGTCTCACAGAAATGATCACTTTTGGTCATGTCCTGTCCGTTGACTGAAGAAAATTACATTTATAAACTCGTTACTAACGTATGTAGTTCAAGGGTTCAAAAGCAATGACCAGGAACTTGAGGCCTTTGTATACCTTAGTACTTAATGTAGGTGCGGTTTTGATAGCAGTTTACGCAAACGAGATTCAATGTATTGTCCATAGTGCTAAGCTAAACCCCACTGTTTCTTCAAAATCCAACCATTTCAAACCGAGGAATTGGTATGGCTGCTTTTGTAAAGCATGTGTAATAATTATAAACCCACAGCTCCTCAGCGAGTTCACATATTGCACACTGACTAAGCTTTCCTTTCACTTTAGGTTTCAGCTTTGGTTATCTTAGCCTAACCGTTGCTGAATGACAAAAAAAAAAAAAGGAAATTCGTGTCGTTGTAGTATATACTCAACCAAGTGTCAAAAATCTCCATCTGTTAATTGAACATTGCAATGCTCATGTAAATCCATCCATCCATCCATTCATCATGTTCTGAAACTTGGTACACAGCTGATGACATTACACTAAAAATGGAAAACAGAAACCCATATAAATCCGCCCCCAAAAATTAGTAGCGCATCATTAAATTTTCTCAATTTACTCTTCAGTTCCAAGAACACACATGAAGCTATGAATCAATACTTGCTCAAGGTTGCTGTCTTTGACCCGTAATGAAGTAAAATGCATTTTCCCTCTCCTCACAACATAATACTTCTAAAGTCCTACCCAGTATGAACGGCCATTGCTGTTGTGAATAGGGGATGGCCTAGGAGACGTCACACACCATTCATACCAAACCTGCATCACATTGTGCTTTTTCAATTTTACAACAAACTAGTAAATCACTCAAATTTAACAATCATGGAAAAGGGCACACCTTGGTAGAACCACAACAACGCCAAAAATGTACTTCAAGAGGGATTCCAGGGCGTACGCTTATAGGTTGTCTTAGCGGAAAAAATATTGCAAACCTGTCCATCCACCACAGCCAAATTTATCATTATGGGGAGGAGATGCTACCCATGACCAACATCTAGTAATTTTTGACAAAATTGGATATAGATGGTAAGCCTACAAAGGTGCTAGGCATCAGTTCACTGGTTTGAATTCTGAATAAACCAAGTTCAACGTTTCATTCTTGCTAGCTGGTAGAATCATTAGCAAAATAGCTTTCCTGACAGGGCAAAACGAAAGTTGCCTAAAAAAATTACCACTTTGGTGGTCACAGTGAAAAACCAGACATCCAATTGCTCCCTAAACAGAATCAAAGATAATTACTGCCTCTTCATTAGGTCAATCCACATTTCATGTTTCCTACCTATTCGTATATACTGAGAATATTATTAAACACCAAAATTATATTTTTTTCGTTCTTTGTGGGACTTTTTGTTCATTAAGTTCACACTAGAGAAAATCAAATACAATTAAAAGCCAAACAATGGTTGCATGGGAATTTATGAATCTGTTTCCTATCTTGCATGCATACTCTGACTAATATAACTAGGGAAAGATGACTCCAAATTTCTTCCAAGATAATCAAGCTTCAACTCATGAGCCCTTAACAAATGAATCCAAGAAAACGAAAATTGCATACCAGCTGAACATGTTTGGCGTGGCCATTGATGGTTCAATACCAAGATGTACATCTTTGTAAAGTGTTGCATCAAAGTAGCCAGCAAATCCTTCAATGAAGTTTTTAAAACGGTTAGGTCTAAAAGTTCTCACATGAATATAGACAACGATTATTATTTAACTTTCACAAAAACTTAACATGGATGCAAATGATAATGAAGTAAAAAAGATGAAACAATGATATGAAGATAATATTGTTGTCAACCTGAAAACTGAATAAAATAGCAAATTTGTGGCAAACTGAATATTTGAAATGGGCATCTTTAGCACAATTTCTCATTCTGCAATACCATTTCTTTCACTTATTTTCAAGATTTTTTCATGGAATGGATGTAAACCAGACTCCATGGACACTTGGAAAATTATCCATGCACTGCATACTTTTTTCTAGAATATTTAATTGAAAGAAAATGAAGTGGAGTTCATTGCAACACACCATGTACCACTGCCGATCCAGTGTCTTGCGGTATCTCAAACTGAAGCTTCTTGTATCGTTGGTTGCTTTTCTTAGTTGAGTAGTCTGGATGGTTAAATGTAAAAACCTGTACAAAGAATAATAAAAGGGCAGGTTAAACTAACAAACTCCGGTGCTTCACAAGCATACACAAGCGGAAACCCACAGGTTTTGTAGGAGCAAGTCTGGCAACACTATGCAGTTTTACAACATAAGGAGTTTCAAAATGGACAAGATCTTTATGCGACTTGACCTGTGAAACCCATAAAAGAGAATAAATAAGAAGAAAAACTTAAAAGAAAATACCAGCAGATAATAAAGCATGGAAAAAAGGGAATACATCATTATATAGCTTCGAAGCAGTTATTGGTTGGATGAAACTTGTGTACCTGAGAGGCATAACACAACAAATGCATTCAGTTTTTCAGTCACTGTGTCTTTATGGCAATTATTCTTTTACTTCTTTCGCCTTTTGATGGTGGAATATAAAACAATACTGAAGTGTTAGAAATCAAGTGTACCAGAAGAAAAAACAATTGAAAACTTTTTTGCAAAAGAATTAACAATAGCAATAAATGAAACAAAGAGAAGGCAATTATAATAAAAAATAAAGACATAAATGCATTACCTAGATTCCTTCTAAAATTTTTACACTCTACATACGATTTTTCCTGGGCAGGAATGCATAACAGGGCAATAACCCAATTGTGAAACTCTTTTTTTGCAAATGAAATACTAATGTGCCAATTAAAGATCATTATTTACTTCCGTATTGCTTAATATTATAATGGATCAATCTAAAGAAGCCTTTCATAAACACCCACCATTAAGCAAGAATAGAAGTCTTTCGAGGGAGAATAAAGTTCCAAGAACCATTTAAGCAATGACACAATTATCAAAACATAACGACAAAGCTGAAGAACCATAGAACCAAAATATCCTAAGCTTGTCCATGAAGAATCCCTAAAGGACATTCTTAGAAAAATCGGAAAATTTCAGGTCATTTTTACACAGATGAACACTGAGTTGTCAATATAATTCTAAGCTGGATCATCAAATTTTAATTTCCATCAATTGGGACATCCACCCAGATTAGGGTTCAAACTCATCAGTAGAGAATTTGACTGAACCCTCCAACGGATTATAAATGATATTGACCCACTGCCTTAATAATACTGACACACACACAGATACACTCACGATGAGGGTATTGAGATTCCATCTTGCTTCAGAAACCGTTGGGCTCCATCAAGACACTCGGGAGACAGCTCATTATCACCAAAAGATCCCAGCAATTCACTGACCTACATACAAACATAGCTAAGGCAATGAATATGTATTAAAAGAAAAGAATTGAACAAAAAAAAAAATGAAACAGAATTAGTTACATACCAGGATGTCGGTCCTTTCAGGAGCATTCCAAAGGCGCATATCACAAGAAACTATGGTAACAATATTTTCCCATCCTTCCAGTTTAACCAAACTCTGATTTAACAAATAGATCATGTTCAAAATGCACGACTAATTGAATTTTCAACGAACTTGGGCAAGGAATAACAGTCGTCATTTCTAATTTGAGACTTCCAAAGAAAAACCTATTGAAGACCAAAAGCCAAAGGCTGGATGTTACTAAACTACCAATAACAGCCTTTAATTCAAAAGCTTTTACTAGGGAATTATTCTATCGACTTAAGGGTTGAATTATATAATATCTAATGCACATGAAGCTGATGTACTTCCCTAATCCTTAAAAGTTTTCAACAAGGACAAAATTGCTATAGAAAAAGGATAATTTTAGATAAGGCAAATTGCACACACACTAAGGTGGGGAGTCTCAATAGCCCAGAGCTACATCACATTTTTTTTTGATAGGAATGGTAGGCCTCATTAAAAAACCCCTTCATGATTAATGGAACACAACGTGCTCCTTAATCAGCGGAAGGAGGAAAAGAGTGCCTTATAATTCATTAATACCCGAAATTTACATAATTCTTGAAAAACAAACATACAAACTCCCTTTACAATAACCAACCCAAAGCCTAAACGATAACTTAACCAAAAACAATGAAACTAGCCAATACCAGCCTTTGCTAAGTTGTCAGCCTCAACATTGGCTGACCTAGCAACCCATCTAATAATACCCTTCAAACCTCTTAACTCAGTAACAATGTCTTTCACAAAGTCTACGTAGACATAGGGACAAC